TCGAGGCGGCCCTGGACAAGGAGGTGGGCGAGGACTGGGGAGGGGACACCGGCGGGGCGACCCCGGCGAGGACGGGGACCTCACCGCCCCCCCCCCTTTGCTCCCTGCAGATCTACTACCACGGAGAGCCCATCAGCGTCAACGTCCATGTCACCAACAACACCAACAAGACGGTGAAGAAGATCAAAATCTCAGGTGAGGAGCATGGCTTCGCCCCCCCCGGCTGCTGTCCCCGTCCCCACGGGGGCCCTCCCCGACCCCCCGTCCCTCCATCTCTTGCCCCAGTGCGCCAGTACGCCGACATCTGCCTCTTCAACACCGCCCAGTACAAGTGCCCGGTGGCCGTGGAGGACGCCGAGTGAGTACTGGCTGCTTGGGGGGGGGGGGCCCGCGGGGCCCTCAGGGGGGCCCCGGGGACCTCAGAGGGGCCTTGGGGGACTCCTGCCACAATGCAGCACCTTCAAAGCAGTGGGATGTTGCGTTCAGCAAGCAGGTCCTGGTGGGAGGAGCGGGGAGATGGAGACCCTTTTTTCGATGGCACCTTGGGGGATGTCACCCTCTGTGTCCCCCCCCGGCCGGAGATGAACTCCAGGCTGAGGCAGGGACAGCCCCGGGGACCTCAGAGGGGCCTTGGGGGACTCCTGCCACAATGCAGCACCTTCAAAGCAGTGGGATGTTGCGTTCAGCAAGCAGGTCCTGGTGGGAGGAGCGGGGAGATGGAGACCCTTTTTTCGATGGCACCTTGGGGGATGTCACCCTCTGTGTCCCCCCCCGGCCGGAGATGAACTCCAGGCTGAGGCAGGGACAGAGATGTCTGCTGCACTGGGTCTGGAGTTGGGATGGAGATGTTCCCCAGGCTGGGGCTGGGATGGAGGTGTCTGGGCTCGGTCTGGAGTTGGGATGGAGATGTTCCCCAGGCTGGGGCTGGGATGGAGATGCTCTGCAAATCTACACCCTGACCCCCTTCCTCGCCAACAACCGGGAGAAGCGGGGGCTGGGAGAGGTGTCTGGGCTCGGTCTGGAGTTGGGATGGAGATGTTCCCCAGGCTGGGGCTGGGATGGAGATGTCCCCAGTTGGCCCCGAGCTCGACGTTCTGCAAAGTCTACACCCTGACCCCTGACCTCGCCAACAACCGGGAGAAGCGGCTGGGCCTGGGATGGAGATGTTCCCCAGGCTGGGACTGGGATGGAGATGTTCCCCGGGCTGGGAGGGAGATGTCCAGGGTGACCGTGGGGTTGTTGGAGATGTGGGGGGAGCTGTGGGGCCGGCGTGGGGCCCTGGCTGACGGTGGCCATTGTCCCCAGTGACATGGTGGCCCCGAGCTCGACGTTCTGCAAAGTCTACACCCTGACCCCCTTCCTCGCCAACAACCGGGAGAAGCGGGGGCTGGCGCTGGATGGCAAGCTCAAGCACGAGGACACCAACCTGGCCTCCAGCACGCTGTGAGCCCACCCCCCGACCGCCCCCGGGGCTCCTGCTCCCTCTGGCAGCGCGGGCGGGCTTGGGGGAGGACTGAGCCCTGGTGGGCATCCATCTCCCGCTCCAGGGGTGATGCTCGGGGTGGAGGAGACCCGGTGGGGGGACCTTCAAGAGAAGGGGGGGCTGGTCCCCACGGGCATCCCCTCGCTGATCCCCACCTGCCCCTTCCTCCAGGTTAAGAGACGGAGCCAACAAGGAGATCCTGGGCATTATCGTCTCCTATAAGGTGAAGGTGAAGCTGGTGGTGTCCCGAGGAGGGTGAGTGTTGGGGACACCCCCCCTGCCCTGCATCCCTGCTCTTCCCTTGCTCTCCTCTGGGCTTGGGACCGGCCTCGGCGTGTCCCCCCGGGATGCTGCGTGGTTCCCGGGGATGGTGAAGCTGCAGCGGAGCCCAGCTCTGGGCAAGGTGGCCCTTTCTGGGGACACTGGCGTGGCCATTGCTGGGGGGGGGTGTGTGTCATTAATCCTTACAACAACCCCGCTCCCCCCCTTCTCTGTGCTGCAGCACCTTTTGCAGGGTGGGGCCCCGCTTGCAGCCCTCCCGTGCCGCAGATGGGGCCCATCGCCCCCCCAAACCCCTCCCGGGACTCAGCAGCATGGGGGGACACGAGGTGTGGGGGGGGTCACGTGTCCTTGGGGAGCGGTGACTAATGCGTTGTCTCCTTTGACCCACGCCAGCCTGCTGGGAGACCTCGCCTCCAGGTAACGCCCACGCCGCTCCCCCCGAACGCCCCCAAATTGCCGCTG